CTGTTTCTTAAGTTTACGTGGTTCCTGTCAAAGGAAGCCACGATTGCAATCCACCGCGTTTCACAAGATGTTGGCTCCGTCATTTCGTCCGTTGCAGACGGGACGGCCACCTCCTCCGTTGTACTAGCCACGCACTATACTCTGGTGGCTGAATAGTCAACTAGGTTTCTGCAGACGAACACACTCAAAGATTATGGTCACCTGAGACAACTCAAAAGCTCCTTCAGTAACCGTCTCTCGAACTAATCTCACTCCTGGCAAACTTCCTCCATCTGGGCAAAATTTTTCAACAACCGAGTACAGACGAATCGTCAAACAGACAATCTCTCTGATCTCATAACTTCGATGGATGGATCAACAGCGTACACGCTGATCTGATCGATCGATTATTATTCGATCAAATAACCAACCAATCAAATTCGGAGTCGGATTCAGGTTGCAACTGACGGTCAGTCACGCTGTCTGTCTTGGTGTCGAGCCCCAGCTGGGGCTCATGGACAGATATTTCTTTTGAATGAAAGTTACTGTCTTGTCTATGTGTAGCGCCCTCTCTGACGAGAGGTCGGGTCTGTCATTTGTCAGTCAGTCTGTTTTAATATGTCCCCTGTCTGTACTTACATAGATTTATAACAATTATTTCTTGCTTATATGTACAATATATTCAAGCCTCTATCAGTCCAGGCTCAGTACAGCAGATTACGCCCTATTTCTAGTATTATTCGCTACAACGGCAGTTAGTTACTTGAACCGTCGTATGCCTGACCGCCGCCAAGTTAAAGCCTCTTATACTTTCTGTGGCGTGCTTCACCTTGTCCGATGTTGCGAACATTCTCATTCTCATGATTTTGTATGACTTCTACTTGTTGCCTGCATAATTTTTTATAAAGTCATATACTTACGGGATTTTGAATGCCATGTGCAAAATCACGGACCGGTGTGCACCTCTGAAAATTGCCAATAGTGCGGAGAACCTCGTTTTTCAGGCGCTGCAATTTCACTAGATGGGTGTCTGACGCAAACTCCATGGCGGGACTAGCATAAGTCATTACGGATCTAATAAGAGCATTATGGATAGTCAGTTTAATGTTAGTGCTCAATCGCTCACTTTTGAATAGGGAATATACTCTAATGAATGTTCTAAAGGCCTTAGGTTCGATCATTTCTATGTGTAATCTCCATGTCATTCTCTTATCGAAGATTACACCTCGATATTTTGCACTATTTACAAATGGAATATATCTTCCATTTAGATAAAGTTAAGACACAGGCGGTCGACGACCACGAGAGAAGTAGACCCCCTGAGTCTTATCTTCATTAATCTTTATATTCCAGCGCTCACACCAAGTCTCCAATGAGCTGAGACCGCGCTGGAGTTTTCTAACAATAAAACCCGCCTTGCGATCTGTCGCATATAGAAAGATGTCGTCCGTAAAGATGGCCAGGTGAACACCATGTGTTAGGGGGGCATCATTAATCTACAAGTTGAAAAGTGTTGGGGAAAATATAGAACCTTGTGGCGCCCGTGCTGACATTTCCTTTGGCGTTGACATTTCGCCTTCAACAGAGACCCTGAATTTACGTTTAGACAGAAAGGAGCCAATAAGCTTGATCAGAGAGTTGGGGAATTCCAATTTTGATAATTTAAACATCAAGCCTGAGTGCCACGTGGTATCAAAGGCTTTTTCGATGTCCAAGAACACTGCAGCCGTAGACATTTTATTGTTGAAGTTAAGGATCACGTGGTCCGTCAGCCTCATTCACTGCAATGTCGTGCTGTGACGTGCACGAAAAACAAACTGACTTGCGTTGAGTAGGCCTCTTTCTTCAATATTGTGACATGTTGCCCAACGGAGAACCCCCCCACCAGCAGTGACTCGGCGGGTGAGTCAGCGCTCCGGCATCCCCCCTCCGCACGGTAACGTAACGCGCAACCCGCAACGGCGTGAGATAACAGCGTTGCTACGTAACAGGCACACACAGCCACTATATAAGAGAGCTGCGCTGCTTGCGAGAGTAGTTGTAATGTGGCCATCGCCGAGTTCAGTTCCGAGTTAGTTACGAGCAAGCCTAGGAGCGAGTGTGTTATCAACAGTTCTCCAGTCATCCGACAACAGTTGGAATATAGCAGCCGTCGCGGAAAGAAGAACCGGACGTGTGTGTAATTGTGTGACTGGGAGTGTGTAATACAGTAACACTTATATAGCTCCCATACTGTGAAACGTGCAGTCTACTGACAATAGCGTGATTTGATTTGCGAATTGGGTTATAAATTGTGAAACTCGCAATATTGTTATAATTTATTGTAGCCATTACTTGTAGGTTGTTGAATAAACCAATTAACCATCTCTACGGCGTCTTTAGTAACGAAACACGTTACATTGGTGTCAGAAGTGGGATTTGGATTTACACACGTGACGATCGAGATTAGAATTCAAGACACGTGACAATTTGGTGTCAGAAGTGTTTTCCGAGCTTGATCACGCCACAAGTTACATGGAGTATTTTGCTGCTACAGAATGGAAAAACAAGTTATAGAAAAATTGTTCGAACCCCTAGTGGCAAAACTATACGCCGATAGAAAAACCGACAAGGAAGAAATGAAGGCCGATAGAAGAAAAGACAGAGAAGGTTTCCTGGCAAAATTAGACGTCAACCAGAATTTACGGAGGAATTTCAAAATTATTTTTTCGAATAGTTTTCCTGTCGTGGACAGGAGGTTAATCGGACGTAACTTTTGAGGAAATTTCGGGCCTTTACCCGGATTAGGTAAAGTTATTATTTTTGCTTACTTCCAAGAATTTGGAAAATGAGAAAGCCAAAAAAATTATTGAAAAAATGAGTTAGGTGAACCAATGGTCGCCTTGGAAGGTGCCTGAGGCATTCAGTTGGGATGCCGCCTATTCCACAGGCCTTTTTTAATTTCAGGGAATTTATTAATTTCTGAACGTCACATGCTCTGATCCTTTGAGGGGGGTTCTCGTCTACGGTTTCCAGCAGAGCTTGAACTCTAGCCTCCACCCTCTGTTCATGGTTTTCATCGCACAGGTCATGTGGCGTGAACTGAATTTCCAAATTGTCGGCAATTTCGTTGGCTTTTTCAAAAGGATAAAATTTAAGGCCAGAATAACCATGAATAGCAGTTGTTGCCCTTGGTCCACCTCTCTTAAGAAGAGATTTCACAATGGGCCATATTCTGAGGTGTGACTTCAGCGTTACCTATTTTTGTTCCCCAACGTTCAAGTGCCTTTTTCCGGGTCATTCACCTGATTGATTTGGTGACCCAATTGACTGCCGCTTTACACGCTGGATCCCTGGTTTCTTGCCACAGTTTTCATAGCCTCTGTTTATATTTTATCAAACGATCTGGACCAGGAAAATCGTTGTTTATGTCCGAAAGTGTAATTTAACTTGTCAACAATCTATATGCCGAAGCAATAGAGGCTATAAAGTCGCCTGCCGCTTTATCGGCTTCTACCCCCGAATTTATTTCTAGTTTAGGTGATATTAATTCAGAAGCGAAGCTTTGAAACCGCTCCCAATCTGTAAATTTTTCAATGGGTTCTGAAATATTCCTAATTTTAACGTGATCCAGTATGTGGAATAATATTGGTATTTGATCTGAATCCAAAATATCAGAGACGACGCCATCCGACATTCTAATATTTTGGTGAACCACATGTCTAACACGTTACCATTTCCCGCAGGGGAACAATGAGTGGGACACTGTGGTGCTGAGATTTCGAAATCACTCATATCAAATAAATCCACAAGTTTAAAGCCTGAGGGGTTTGAAACTCTGCTATTCCAAAAGTGGTTCTTAGCATTCAAATCACCTGCCAAAATAGACTTTCGTCTGAAGCTTAAGAGCTCAGTGATGCCAGCATCACTCCTGGCTTGGCCTGGAGATTTATAAGGAGCTGCAAGCAGCATTTCGCTATTTCCAATTGGTATACAGATCCCTGTCGCTTCTACTGAAACAAGGGGTGGTAGGTCTACATGGTTATGGGGAATGCCATTTCTTACTGCAAAGGAAGTTCCGCCCTTTCTGCCCGACTGGCGGTCGATTCTATAAAAGTGGTAATTTCGAATAAAGAACCTCTCATGAGGTTTCAGATGTGTCTCTGAAAACAGGGCCACATCTACCTGTAGGTCTTGCAGCTGTTTACTGAGCTCACAGCGCTGCCTTCCAATGCCGTTCGCATTAAATTCTATGACTTTGAGGGGCCTATGAATTCTAGTGACCATTCTCTTTCTTAAGGTTTAGAATAATTTTGGTAATGGCATTATTTTGTCCTCCTCGGACACTGCACCATTGGCCTCTGTCATAATCTGCTGCACTACAGTCACCACTCTCAACATATTGTCGAGAGACTGACCGTTTACATTAGTAGCCTGACCTGACTGACCTGTTTCTTTCTGTAGTGCAGGGGGCGGTACAATCTGTTTCTTTGTTGCGGCTGGAGCCACCGGAACATGGCTTTCCTGAGGGCGCTGATGCTGCTCTGATGCACTGCCTCGGAGTGCCGCCGCGAAGGAGACACCTGGAGTTACGGTGGCTGAAGAAAACACCCTCCCCGTAGTTTTGGACCTTCTCTGAATCTTCCTTCTCTATTGCTCCTCTTTGGCATATTTGCAACCCTGATAATTGGCGGGATGTGGCTTTTCTCCCTCCGCCATTCGGCAGCTGCTGTATACTGGGGTGGAGGCAGAGTTCTCCTTCTCTGGGCACTCCTTGTGTAAGTGGCCACCTACGCACCACAAACAACGTGGGGGCTGTTTGCAGTTAGCCTAAACGTGGCCGAACTGCTGGCAGTTGTAGCACTATGTGAGCCCGTTTAGACTGCCTTGGAGTTTTCTAACAATAAAACTGTCGCGTATAGATAGGTGTCTTCCGCAAAAAGGGCAAAATTAATACCATGGGTTTGGTGGGCATCATTAGTATACATGTTGAAAAGTGTGAGGAAAAGGATCGAACCTTGTGGCNGTCGTTATAATTATTGGGGGTGGCCTGCCTGCTCTCCCTGATGTATCCACCTCCAGAGTAGTGGATCCCTCCTCCAGCGCAGTGGCTCCGTCACCAGCAGAGTCGGTGTCCATTGTCGTCACCCTGAGAGGAGCAAAGTAGTTGCGGGTAGGCACCTCTTTGGTTTGGGTGTTGCCTGTGGCAGCCGCTGCCTTCTTTGAAGTCGGGGCGGACTCGGTTGTGCTCTGCCGTTTCCGCCTTCGGACCTCTTTGAAGTCTTCCTCTTGGGAGGGCTTCGTCTGGGTTTTTGTTGCCTCCGATGTTCTGGCTTTCACTAGGGACTTCAGATCGTTCAGTGTAACTGTGTAGGTTCCGTACAGAGCACTGAACAAAATCTTGCCCTTGAGAGCCTTGCAATAGCCCTCTCTGCTTTCTTCAGCGGCATTTATTATTGCCGCCCACTCAACACTTTCTCCAATTGTGGCTGGTGTGAAGCTGGCCACATCCTCAATATCACAAATGATTTTAAACAGTCTCCTGTAGTGTTCATCTGCTGCAGGATATTGCTTCACGTTTTCCTTGCACTCTGCCTGTAGTGAGGCTCTTTTCTCTGTCCAGAATGCATGGTAGCCAGGCACCGAGGCGCCCGCCATGTCTGGCACGGCACGGCACGACACGACACGACACAGGCCTCAACCAAAATCTGATAATTTTAACAACAAAGGATCAAAAATTTCAGAGCTACCAGCAATATAACTCCTTAATACTCTCCTTGAGCGTGAATCAGATTATGACGCATTTCTGCAACGCTCGCTATTCAGCTCCCTTTTCACCATCACGTGCGCTAACCAATCTCATTGCTTAGCAACGAGTAAACAGCGGTTGCTAGGGAACTTGTAAACACGGTGTCTGGCAACAGCAGTACCTATTACATAACCGTTTTCTATATAATTTCGAGAACAGCTGTGTTACTATTGGTTTCATGAGAACTCTGTGAAACATTCGAACTTAAGTAAGGCACGGAGTTTCGAGACCAGCTTTGCTACTTTTGGCTTCAAGAGAACTCTAGTAACAGTTCGGAACCCTTAAAAGAGAGGGATATTAGAGAACAGCTGTGCTACGACTGACTTCACTAAAATTCTTTAAACACTTCGGTCTCCACTAAAGAGAGGAAATTCCTAGAAAAGTTGGGCTATTATTAACTTCCCCAGAACTATGTAAACAGTTCGAACTCCCCAAAAGACAGGGAATTTCGCGACCAGCTGTGTTACTATTGACTTAACGGGAACCTCTAAACATTTCGGTCTCCAGAATATACAGTTCATTTCAACAGCAGCTGGGTAACCATTGGTTTCGCGAGAACTCTGTAAACAGTTCGGGCTCCATTAAAAAAAGGGAATTTGGAGACCAGCTGTTCTACTATTTGTGTCATGAGAACTCTGTAAACATTTCGAATTCCACTAAAGACAGGAAATTTCTAGACCACCTGAGTTATTATTTGCTTTACGAGAACTATGTAAACACTTTGTAATCCACTGAGAGAGAGAAATTCGAGAGCAGCTGGGTTATTGACTTCACCAGAACTCAATAAACAGTTCAGACTGCACAACAGACAGAGAATTTCGATACGAACTGTGCTGATATTCACTATCTATACAGTTCGGTTCCCACAATAGACATCGATTTCCAAGACCAGTTTTGCTATTCTTGTCTTCACGAAAACTCTATAAACAGTTCGGACCAGTTAAAAGACAGATAATTTCGAGACTAGCTTGTATTCTTGGCTTCATTATAGCTTCGTAAACAGTTGGAATTCCACTAGAGTCTGGGAATTTCGAGAATAGCTGGGCAGATATTGCCTTCATGAACTCTGTAAAGAGTTTGGGATCCACTACAGATAGGGAATTTCGGGACCACTCATCCTACAATCGACTTCAGGAAATCTCAGGAAACATGTCGTGCTACACTAAAGACAGTGTATTTCGAGACCACCTGTGCTAATATTGACTTCACGAGAACTGGCAAACACTTCGGACTTCACTAAACATGGAATCTCCAGACAAGTTGTACTCCTATTGGCTTCATGAATACTCTGTAAATAGTTCATACTCAATTAAGACAGGGAATATCGAAACCAGTTTTGATACTATTTGTGTCATTAGAACTCTGTAAACAGTTCGGTTTCAATTAAAGGCAGGTAACTTCGGGACCGACTATGGAATTATTGGCTTCATGAAATCTCTGTTAACAGTTCTGACTCCACTAAAGGCAAGGAATTTGAGACCAGCTGGGCAATTATTGACTTCACGAGAACTCCGTAAACAGTTCGGGATCCACTAAAGATAAGGAAATTCCATCCCAGGTGTGCTATTACTGGCTTGACGAGAACGATGTAATAGGTTAGGTATCTACTGTGCCAGAGAATTTTGAGACCACCTCTGTTACTATTAACTTCACGAGAACTCTGTTAACAGTTCGGACTCCACAACAGACATTGAATTTCAAGACCAGATGTGCTACTGTTTACTTCATGGAAACACTGTAGACAGTTCGGACTCCAAAATGACAGGGATTTTCGAGACAAGCTTTTCTAGTCTTTGCTTCACGAGAACTCAATATAAAATTCTGACCCCTTAAAGGCACGGAATTTTGAGATCATCTCTGCTACTATTGACTTCAGTAGAACTTTGTAAAAAGTTGGGACTCCACTAAAGAATTTTGAGACCAGCTGTGCTAATATAGACTTCACGAGAACACCGTAAATAGTTTGGGATCCACAAAATACAAGGGATAACGAAACCATCTTCAGGAGAACTCGGTAAAGAGTTTGGATTCCATTAAGACAAAGAATTTTGACACCAGCTTTGCTACTGTTTGCTTCACGAGAAGTCAGTAAATAGTTCGGAGTCCACTAAATTTATCGAATTTCGGGACCAGCTATGATAAAATCATCTTCACGAGAACTCTTGTAAGAGTTCGGTTTCAACTAAAGAGGGGAATTTCGAGACCAACTGTGTTACTATAGACTTCACGATACTTCTGTAAATAGTTTGTTCTCTACTAAAGATAGGGAATTTCGAGACCAGCTGAGCTATAATTGGCTTCACCAGAACTATGTAAAAGGTTCGTTATCCACTGTGACAGAGAATTTTGAGACGAGATTTGTTACTATCGACTTCACCAAAACATCTGTAAACAGTTCGGACTCCACAACAGACAAAGAGTTTAGAGACCAGCTGTGATACTATTGACTTCAAGGGAACACTGTAAACAGTTCGGACTCCACAATAATCAGTGAATTTCGAGACCTGCTTTGTTATTATTGGCTTCACGTGAACTCTTTAAACAGATCGGGTTCCTTAAAAGAGAGGGAATACCGCGACCCGCTTAGCTAATATTGGCTTCATGAATTTCTATAAATAGTTCGGACTCAAAAAAAGAGGAAACTTCGAGACCAGCTGTGCTACTATAGACTTTACGACAACTCTGTAAAGAGTTCGGCTTCCACAAAGACAGAGGACTTCGAGATAGCTGGGAAAATATTTTCTTGACGAGAACACTGCAACCCGTTCGAGCTCCACTAAACTTAGGGGATTTCGAGACATTATTTTCTATTATTGACCTCACGAGATCTAAGTAAATAGTTCCGTATCCTCTGTGACAGAGAATTTCGAGACCATCTGTGTTACTATTGAATTCACGAGAACTCTGTAAACAGTTCGGACCCCACAAGAGACAATGATTTTCGAGATCAACTCTGATATTATTGACTTCACGGGAACAAGGTAAACAGTTCGGTCTCCACCATAGACAGGTAATTTCTATAGCAACTTTTATATTATTGGTTTTAGGAGAACACTATATAAATAATTCGCCCCTTAAAAGACAAAGAATTTCAAAACCCGCTCGGCTAGTATTGACTTCACGAGGACTCTGTAAATAGTTCGGACTCCAAAAAAGACAGGGGATATCGAGACCACCTGGGATACTATTGGCTTCATGGGTACTCGGTAAAGAGTTTGAAATCCACTAAGACAGAGAATCTCTACACCAGCTGTGCTAGTAATGGTTTCACGAGAACTCTGTAAAGAGTTAGGTCTCCAAGTAAATCAGAGGATTTCGAGACCAGCTGAGCTAATATTGTCTTCATGAAAACATTGTAAACAGTTCGGAATCCAATAAGACAGAGAATTTCGAAATAATCTGGGCTACTATTGACTTCACGAGAATTCTGTAAAGAGTTTGGAATCCACTATGAGAGAGAATTTCGACACTAGATTTTCTAATATTGACTTCACGAGAACTCTGTAAACAGTTTGGACTCCACAACTGACAGAGAATTTCCAGACCACCTATGCTGCTATTGACTTCACAAGAACTAAATAAACATTTCGGACTCGGAATTGACAGGTAATTTCTTGACCACCTTTGTTAATATTGACTTCAAAGAACTCTATAAACAGGTAGATCTACATAAAAGTGATGGAATTTCGAGACAAACTGTGCAAGTATTGGCTACGGGATAATTATGTAAACAGTTCGGAATCCACTGAGACAGAGAATTTCGAGAACAGCTGAGTTACTATTGACTTCATAAGAACTATGTAAACAGTTCGGACTCCGCAAGAGACAGAGAATTTCGTGACCACTTATGGTACTTTTGACTCTGTAAAGAGGTCGGACTCCACAATAGACAGGGAATTTCGAGACAAGTTTTTATAATATTAGCTTCACGAGAATTCTATAAACATTTCGGAATCCTTAAAATAACAGGAAATTCGAGACAAACTGTGCTAGTATTAACATCAATAAACTCTGTAAACAATTGGGACTCCAATAAAGACAGCGAATTTCGAAACCAACTGTGCTACTATAGACTTCACTAGAACTCTGTAAATTTTTCAGACTGCACACAAGACAAATGATAATGAGATCATCTGGGCTAATATTGGCTTCACGAGAAATCGAAAAAGAATTTGGTTTCCACTAAGACAGTGAATTTCGACTCCAGCTTTGTTATTATTGGCTTCACGACAACTCTGTAAACTGTTCGGCCTCCACAGCAGACAGAATATTTGGATGCCAGCTGTGCTACTATTGACTTCACGAGAACTCTGTAAACCGTTCGAACATCACTAAAGATCATTCGGGTTCCACAATAGACATGGAATTTCGAGACAATCTGTTCTAATATTGGCTTCATGAGAAATTTGTAAATAATTCGGACTCCAAAAAGAAAGGGATTTAAGAGCCCAACTGTTTTATTATTAACTTCACTAGATCTCTTTAAACACTTCGAACTCCACTAAAGCCAAGGAATTTCGAGAACAGCTGGGCAACTATTGGCCACTCTAGAAATCTGTAAATAGTTCGGGCTCCACTAAACAAAAGGAATTTGGAGACCAGCTGTGCTAGTATTGGCTTCATGAGAACTCAATCAACATTTCGGACCCCTTAAAAGACAGGGAATTTCGAGATCAGCTGTGCTACTATTGACTTCAGCATAGCTCCACTAAAGACACAGAATTTCGAGACTATAGACTTCACGAGAACTCAATAAACAGTTTGGACACCACAAAAACAGAGTATATCTAGACCAACTCTGCTACTTCTGACTTCAGGATAACTCAGTATACAGCTGGGACTCCACTGGAGTCAGGGAATTTCGAGACAAGCTGTGCTAGTATTGGCTTCATATGTAATCTGTAAACAGTATATACTCAATTAAAAATAGGGAATATAGAGACCAGGTGTGCTATTATTA